TGGATCAACACTCTCCCAGCAGGGGGATGGGGCTGGGAGTCAGAAGATAAATACTCTCTCCCTCTGCTGCAGGTCTAGTAGAAGGCTGGAGGTGCATTCCACGCTTCCCCTCCCAGGGACTTGTTGCCAGCTGCAGGCTCTGGAAGCCAGGGCTGTCCTTCCTCCTTGTCACTGTCCCTTTTCCTTCCCCGAGACAGCTTTCCAGCAGGAGCTGCCTGTTCTGAGCCTTCTCTCAGCCTCCTGGTTTTCAGCGAGCCAAGAAAAGGCCAGTGTGATGATTGACATTGACTGCTAGCTTGACAGTCACCCAGGAGACAAACCTCTGGCCGTGTCGCTGAGGGGGTTTCTAGGATGGGTTAATTGAGGTGGGGAGAAACTATCCCATGGGCTAGGGTCCAGGACTGAATAAAAATGAGAAAAGCAAACCAGCGTTCACTTCCCTGTTTCCCGCCTGGGGATGCAAGGTGACTAGCTTCCTTGAACTCCTACCACCATGAATTCCCTGCCAGGATGGACTGCACCCTCAACCATCAGCCAAAGCAGTGACTTTGTCATGGATTTTGTCATAGCAACGAAAAGATGGGTAAGACAACAAAAGATAAGTAGACAACAAGGGGCAGACAAGAGGCTTGCTCTGCATCAGAGGAGAGTGGTGTGCCCTGAACTGAACCTCCTGCTCCGTCCAAGACTTCACATCTTCTAAATAATTCAAAAATAAGAATTGAAGGAATAAAATAAACTGAAAGAAAGGCAGAACGGAAGAGACGACACCAAAGTGCAGGAGCCTGGATACAACACAGATTATATACAGCATAGGCACCAGGGGCCGGATGGAGTCAGGCGTCGGAGAGAAAGAGCCTTGATCAAAGACCACCAGGGAAGGCAATACTGGACAAGGAAATGCATGCTGCAGAGTGAAAAGCCACAGAGTGACCTCACTAGAGCTACAAACAGAAGAGAACCAAGCACACGCATGGAGAACAGCTGCCCCTAGAGACTCACGCTGGATCCCTGGAGGAAGTGACTAGATGGGGGCCAACACAATCCCTGCCTTCACCTCTTGAAACTTTCAACTCAACAGCTGACACCCAGCTCTGCCAGGAAGGACATCACAGACTTCGTAGATGAACCAAGTCAAGGAGAGGTGAACTGAACACACTGAGAGCCAGAGGCCAGATCTGGGCAAAGCCAAAGGGGGGAAGGGGACAAACGTGTCTTTAGCATCTGTTTCTACTGAACTCTGAAGCAGCGGTCCTCACCCTTCCTGGTGCTGTAGCCCTTTAATGCAGGTCCTCATAAGATGGTGACCCCCAACCAAAAAGTTATTTCCGTTGCTATTTCATAACTGAAATTTTTGCTACTGTTACGAATCATACTGTAAATATCTGATTTGCAGGATATCTGAGGTGCAGCCTGTGGGGTTCAAGACCCACAGGCTGAGAAGCCCTCCTCTAGCAGGAAGGAAGGAGATGAGGAGTATAAAAGTGTCCAGCACACTACAGCCTGCAAAGTTCTCATAACTGTGCCTAGGGCCTGGTACATCCATTATACAAACACTTGTAATCACTGTCTTCCTCCAACCCCCTCTGTAAAATACCTACTTTACATCACTGTATTCAACTGGAGGGGAGGGATCACTATCTACCTTGCTCATGGTCATGTGCCCTCACACACTTGGGCAAAGACACCACAGTGGTATAGGTATCCGGCGAGGGTAGAGTGGCTTACTACCTCCTGGCAGGCAGGAGCAGAGAGCCAGGAAGGGACCAACAACAAGGCCACCAACCAAAGACCCATCCCCAGTAACTCTCTTCCTCTGCTAGATCTACTGTCCTGAAGTTTACAGAATCTCCCGAAGTAGCAATATCCTAAGCTGGGGAATAACCTAACATATGAACCTACAAGGGGTATTTCATATTCAAACCATAACGCACATGAAATCATGTTATTAAAAGTAGCCTTTCACAAGCCAGCGAAATGGTTCAGCAGACAAAGGTGCTTGCCACTAAACCCTGAGGACCTAAATTCAATCCCCAAAACTCAAGAGACAGAAGGAGAAAACAGACTCCATTTTTGCTGGCATGTTGTCTTCTGACCTCAACAAGCAAGTCATGGCTCATGTGTGTGCATCACATAAACATGCACACATAAACACACACAAACACACAAAACACAGGCACCAGACAGAAACACACACTAATTCATCAACTAAATACTTTCTTTTAAAAATCAACGGGAAAATAGCTTTCTAAGCAGGGTTGATGGCACAGACCTGTGATACCAGCTAGTTAGGAGATTGAGGTGGAAAAATCCCAAGTTCAGAGTCAGCCTGGGGTTCAGAGGAAGTGCAAGTAAGTTGTCTCGGCCACTCAGTGAGACCCTATTTCAAATCATAAAAAGAAAACTAGGGATATGACTCACTGGCAGAATACTTGTCTAACATGTATAAGAACCTAAAACCAAGATCAGTATAGAGTATGAGGTTAGCATGTACAAAGCCCTGAGTCCAAAGCCAGCACAAAAGACGGACAGACAGACAGACAGACAGATAGATAGAAAGTCCTTTTTCAGGATCCAAGGCCCTCGGTTCTGAAGTCACATCTTACTCGAGGCTATGATGTGACTCCCCTCTCCCCAGGGGGTGGCACTGTGAAGGGGTGGGGTGGCAGAACCTTTGGTGCGGTCTTCCTAGAGCCAAGGGCCACCGGGGGTTATTACGTCTGCTTCTCAAGTTGGCCTGAGCCTTCTGCTTTCTTGAGCGGCCCCAGCTGCGCCACCATGCCATCCGTCTAACTCAGACTGCACAGCGAGCCAGCGTAAATCCTGCCTCTCAGCGGCTGCTCTCGTCAGGGATTTTATCTCAGCAACCAGAAAACTAGCACACTTGGCCAAATCAGTCGTTTCGATTCCCAGTGCACTACAAGCAAACAAAAAGGAAAAGTTTGTGTGTTTGCCCCTTGTTTGGAATGTCCACCTCCTTTGTCTTCTGTCTTAATTCTCCTTTTCAAAATTATCCCAAAGGAAGATGTCTTCCCTCACCCCCACCCCCAATGTAACGGTCTTGACCTTTCTCTCGAAGCCTCAAAACATTTATGAATGAAACTTCTGCACGTTTGGCATTATCCAACTGTGTTTATCACATTGGTGAGCTGGTAAAGTCAAGTGCTCAAAACACACTGGATTCTCAGTGAACTGTTAAAGCACCACACGGAAGACATCACAGTACCAAGCACCCTGCTCTAAATTATTAAGTTATAAGCCCTCGTCATCTTCCCTGAAATACATATAACGAAACAAGATGAATCATAGCCTGTAAACGGACCCAGTCCCCCCGCCCTCCACGGAACCACAGCAACACACATGAAATCATCACTCACACCAACGAGAAACTTCTAGAGCGTTGTCTAGCTCACAGAAAGCTCCAGTTCCTTCCCATCTGTGGAAGAAACCAGTGACAACAATTGACTAACTTCTCACACCTACCCCACAAAAAAAGTCTATGAGTAGAGCAACCTGTCCACCATGGAGAAAGCCGTTTTACGGGTCCTGAGGAGGTAGGCCACCTTCTGTCTTAAGCCAGATGCTAGCCATGCTCCACTCTTTGGGAGTTTTAATATAACCTACCCCACAGGGTCCACACAACCTGAAAAGGATCTTTCCAAGAACCCTGGAGGTAACAGGATGCAATGACGTCACTGTGAGTAATATAGTCAGAATATGTAACCTTCCACTCCACTCTACCTGGGACTTTTTAAAAGATATGAAAATAAAATATTAACAAATTTGTTAATTATTTGTAATTTGTATCAAAATCGTCTAAAACAGCACAATACAAAAATGAAATAATCCTAGAAAAGATAATAACACCAGAACACCAATGTATACCAAACAAATTAATGCTCACCACCCAGAACTCCAACGTATACCAAACAAAATGAGGCGCACCACCACCCCCCAAATCGATCCACAGGTTAAAGGGGGGAGGGGAATTTTCTGAGATTTTACCACTCATTTGGGGGTCCTCCCCCTAATAACTATATTCTAAGAATAACATGTTGTACAACTTCTGTGAAACCTGCCTCTCCCTCCAACCCATGCACCTCGCGATGCCCCAAGATCTGCTGGGTGACATATGAGATCCAAAGTGGAGGGATAAAAATAGCCTGGTCCTCAAAAAGGCAGATAGCCGCCAGACAGCTGAGTCACTTTGAAGCCCATTTTGACTACAGAGAGGGGCATTTCACCCTGCTTCTGCTTTCGCAAGCTTTCACACAAGCTCACAACCCACCAGGTTGGAAACCTCCACCAGGCTCCCCGGTGGAAGACCAGGATGCCTTTTAACTTCCCCTCCTCCTGCCGGGTCACGATTCGGGAGTGAACTTTTAATAATTCAGATAGCTCACGTCAGTCCAGTGACTCACTTGGAAGGGAAGGATTTGAGAAAGGCTTTAGGGAGCCATCATAAGCTAGCGACAGGCCCCTTATTTCTGTGGCCCTAGTGGACCACCCGGACCTGACAATGGCCAGAAAGGAATAGGATGGGAAGTAGGAGGAGGCGAGCTCAGAGGCCATCAGCATTGTCCCGCAGTGGGAAACCCTGGGCAAGGAAAAGAGAGACTTGAGACTAGCTGTGCGCGCCGCGGGCTAGGGAACTCTCACCTACCACGTCCCCGCCCTCTGTCACCCGGGAAAGCAGCTCGGAACCCTGGACTAACTCTTTCTGGCCTTTCTCGGTGCTGGAGTTGTGGGCGGGATGCTGATGGCCCGGGGCCCTGGCAGCCCAGCCGCAGGCTTGCAGAGCAAAGGCCCCAGAGGACTTTGTCTTCGGCCGCCGCAGCCCGGGGAGGCTCCGCTTGGTGCTGGGAAGCCAAACCCTGGGCCAGGAGAAGCAGCAGGAGGAGATCGAGGTTCCCGGCCCGCACTTCATACGGTCCCCTGCCCCGCGCGTCACCCAGTTCCTAGGCCGCCGGCTGCGCGACCACGCCAGGGATCTTCCTTACCGGGGAGTCGTAGGAGAAGGCGCACTCGTTCTTGTAGACACGGTCCCCCGACCTGGGCACGCGGATCGTGGGCATGTGAGGTACCAGCAGCTCGCCCAGGTCCCCTGCAGCCATCTTCCTGCCGCCGCTCTGCACGCTGAACAGGGCGCCCCGGCGCTGCATGGCCGCGGAGCGCAGCGGGCCTGGGAAGGAGCGCAGCGCAGCGGAAGAGCGGGACCGGGGAGCTGCTGCCGTGCGGGCTGGAGATCCGCTCCGGCTGAGGCTCGGCTCCAGCTGGGGAGATACGGCCCTTGCCCCGGCGGGCGGGCTAGCGGGCGGGAGCTGCTATTTTTAATCCAATGGCGAGTCGCCGGCCCAGCTGCAGCGTCAGGCGGGGCGCGCGCCAGCCGCAGCGCCGGGGAGGGGGATGCCGAGCGGGTGGGGACACTGGAATCAAAGCCGGGGAGGTCCCGGGGTCCCCGAGCACGGAGCCCAGCCCGCCGTTGTCAGCACCTCGGGGATGCAATCTCCAGCTGTCCAGGACCAGGTCGGGGGAATCCCGCACAAAAAGCGGTGCGCAGCACGACCTCCCCCTCCATCGGAAAGGGGTGGGTGGGACTCGAGTGTTGCCTCGCTCTCGTGCTCTTCCTCGCTTCTCACTTTTTAACATGCAACGGTCTATAAAAGACTCTAGGATCCAAGAGGGCCTAGAGAAGGGGAGAGGTATATATTATTTTCTTGCGATAATACAGGGTTTTCTTGTATGTTGCAAGGGGAGGCGCCGTCGCGATCTCCCCCCCCCTTTCAAGATAAGAGTGTCTTTTTTTCCCCCTGGCTTTACAATATCTCCTGCATGACTCAAGGTCCCCTGTTGAACATTCAGTGGCCTGATTTGAGGATCTATAAGCAAACGTACATAGTCCTGCACTTGCTTGTGGACTCTTCAAAATAAAATAATAAATGGGGGAGGGTCTTAATAATGTGCCAATAGAGCCAGCCTACAGTGTGGTTTAGTTCCATTCTTACAGCACAAGAGAGTTCATTGAGGTTCGCTAACTTCATGCAGCATACTAACGTGCAACCAGAACATAGCACTCCACCGTACCCAGAAGCAGCAAATCCAGACAGGACGGTCCGGAACGTCGTTGTTGCTGTCACTGAATTTCCCTTCCCCATATTGCTTCGGAACAAAGAATTAAATACATCTCTTGACTTCCTCGCTATCCATTAGGATCTGGGTCTGTTCACAAATTGGTTATAGAGAGAAACTTGATTTAAAATGTTCAACGTATAAAGTCCAATAATGGATTGAATGCAAATCAGTGAGATTTGTTTCTTGTGTTTGCAGCTGATTAAAGATTTATCAACTTAGTCCGGGTTTGAGAAATGCTGTCATACATGTTGTTGGGAACCAATGTTGCAAACACCTGAAAGGTATTTTTGTTTTTATTTTTGTTGTTTTTTGAAACAGACTCAGTTTGTATCCCAAGCTGATCTTGAACTCCTGGTGATCCTCCTGCCTCAGCCTAACCCATCATCCCCACTTGGTCCCCTAAAGCTGGGATTTCAGGCTTGTGCCATCAAGCCTGGCTTTCTGGAAGGAAATTTAATAGCACTGATGTTAATTTTATATGCATATACTGTTTTCCCAGCAATCTCTTGTGTGGCATTTATGCCACATTTAAATTCAATCAGGGTAGGCTATTGGAGCACTGTTTCTAACAGGGGACTGGGAACAAAGAAAAGACCCATCAATAGGAAGTAGTAATGTAAAGTACCACTGAAAACAATGACATCATTCCCCACTGTCATCAGTCACAACACTGATGGAAACAAAATGCAATTGAGTGTGGGAAAGCCAGGCACGCGTGTCCTGCTGAGCCTTCCTTCCGGTCTGTTCTGCCCATTCCTGTACCCAAATATCTCTTAGAAAACGTGCAGGCTATGTAATTGTCGAGCTGGTGGAGAGGAGCAGAAAGCCTGTCGTCACACGGAATGCGTTTACCACCCTGTACTTTTCTATATGGTTCTAATGGTTTTGTTTCCCTTTGCTTGTCTGTGACACTGGGATTGAACCCAAGAGCCTGTTGCTATTAGTCACATACTCTGCCACTAAGCTACATCCCCAGCTCCTTTTAAAATTATATGTGGAGACAAGGTCTAGCTAAGTTGTCCAGGATGGCCTTGAACTTGCCATTGCCCCATACCTAGTAGCATCTTATTAGATACATGCATCACTAACTAAAATCAGACCTCATGATATGGCTCAACAGGTAAAGGTGAATGCTGTTTAAGCCTAGTAACCTGAGGTCAATTCCAATTCCCGGAACCCACATGAAGGTAGAAACAGAGAATTGACTCTATAAAGCTGTGTTCTGACCTCTCTACATTCAGAGAGAAGAGAGAGAGAGAGAGAGAGAGAGAGAGAGAGAGAGAGAGAGAGAGAGATATTAATAAAAAATTAAGTAAAGGGCTGGAGAGATGGCTCAGTAGTTAAGAGCATTGCCTGCTTTTCCAAAGGTCCTGAGTTCAATTCCCAGCAACCACATGGTGGCTCACAACCATCTGTAATGAGGTCTGGTGCCCTCTTCTGGCCTTCAGGCATACACGCAGAAAGAATATTGTATACAAAATAAATAAATATTTTTTAAAAATTAACTAAAATTCAATTATAAAAACATCTTAGGTTCAATAGCCAGTCACAGAAGTTGAAGGCCATTGCTGTATCACTACAATGTACACCAATCCTTTTTCATATAAAAACAGAGATTGAAATGATGGACAATAAGTAAGTAGCGTTGCACACTTGTAATTGCTTGGAAGCAGAAAATATCAAAAATTCAAGGCCAGCATTGGCTACACAGTGAGTTCCAGGTTAGCCTGAGCAACAAAGAGAACCCATCTCAAAACAAAACAAATTGCAGGAAGTGGTATTTGTAGAACACTCCAAAGTCAAAGAGACTTCCCACAGGAGAAGTGACTAGTCTAGGGACTGTGACAACTTCAGTCCCCATCTATGGCCTTCCAGAGAGCTAATGAGTTTGTGCCAAGTATGCAAGCATAGAAGCATATTCATTTATGTGCAGGAAAATATCATATACAGGACAGATGTAAAACCTATGTGCATAGCAAAAAGCACTAGCATCCCTGATGACAACTCTAACCACAACAGAGGAAAATGGACATCAACTAAACACTGAGAGATAATTAAACTATGTATAACTACTCAAACACCCAAATCTTAAAATGATCATTATGGACATTGTCTTAATATTTTACTATATCTTGGTTAACATGCAATTCTTGTGTAATACCATTGAAAGTCAGTTAAATAGGGCCAGGTATAGTGGCACATACCTCTAATCCCAGCATTTAGGAGGCAGAGGCAGGAGGATCTCTGTGAGTTCAAGTTCAAGGCCAGCCTGGTCTACAGAGTAAGTTCCAGGACAGCCAAAGCTGTTACACAAAGAAACCCTGTCTCGAAAAGCCAAACATGAAAACCAAAATAAATAAATAAAATTTGAAAAGGAAGGAACCTAAGTCAGTTAAACAAACCCATCTTTGATAAACTAGAAAGACAGATTTAAGTGGCTGTTTGTAAGTTGGTCATAGGATTTTGTTTCTGCTTTCCGTTTGTCTCCAACAAGGTCACAAGTGTCGTCCAACTAAAACATTATGAAGACAAAACCTGAGCAAAAGAGACATTACTGAATTAAAATGTCCTCATCGAGACATTTTAAGGCTGGAGTGCGGGAAGCCAAGACCTGTATTTTAAGATCTGCATTTTGGTTACAGCCATCTTAAGTTCACAAGTTAAGAAAAATATTTACCTCTATCCCCTCTGCAGGGTCTAGTAAATCAACCTGGCATCTTATCAGCTAGCAGAGACCTGCAGGCACCAGGCTCCAGAATCAGTTAGCATTTTCCTTTGTTAGTCAACAATCACAGACCATCAGTATTTACTTATCAGCTAAGGATGTCTCCAGACCTGAATTCCAGCAGACCTGAGTTTCCTGACACCCTTCCCTTCCCCCCTTTGTCGTTTTGCTATATAACAGCCTCTGAGAGGGAATAAACGAGATGGCCTGATCAGAAATCCTGTCTTGCCGTCATTTTTCGTGTCTCTTGTCTCCTTCATTCTCTCTCCCCTAGGTTTTTCAGGGATCCCAGTTCGTATCCCGCTGGCCGGAATACTGGAGACAGTGGCACGTGCATGTAGTCCCATCTACTTGGGAGGCTAAGAGAAGAGGATGTCTGGGTCCACGAGTTCAAGACCAGCCTGTGCAACACACTCATTCCATACAAATGGAAGGGAGGGAGGGAGGGAAGGGAAGAGAAAGAGAGAGAGAGAAGGAAAGAAAGACAGACAGACATAGGAGAAACATCTGGTTCAATTACTGCAAACCTTAAACTTAGTTTTTTAAATCCTAGATATGAGCTTATAACTGGACTGTTTTATTTCTCTGCACATAGCCCTCAATCAACAAGCAGATTGAAGAAGCAATGGCATGTGAACACTTCTGACAAATCCAATGTCTCAACATTTCAGACTCACTTTTTGCCACATCAAAGGACTATGGTCGCAGGTCACTGTCCTTCGGCCCAGCTTTTCCCATGATATCCTAGCAGAGCTCAGCTAAGCAGGTAGCATTCTGGGGCCCCTCCCTGCCCTTCAAAGTCCACCTCACTACCATAATTCTTAAGGTATCAAGTATTCCCTAAAGAGAGATGAAGGGGCACCAGCTTTAGTTGAACATTCTCTCCTCTCATGTCTATAACAGCCTCTTCTTCTTCTTCTTCTTCTTTTTCTTCTTCTTCTTCTCCTTCTTCTCCTTCTTCTCCTTCTTCTCTTTCCTCTTCCTCTTCCTCCTCCCCCTTCCCTTCTTCCTCCTCCTCCCTTTCTTCTTCTTTTCTGGTTTTTCAAGACATGGTTTCTCTGTAGCTTTGGAGTCTGTTCTGGAACTCGCTCTGTAGAGCAAGCTGGCCTCAAACTCACAGAAATCCACCTGTCTCTGCCTCCAGAGTGCTGGGATTAAAGGCATATGCCACCACCGCCCTTTCAAATGCAGTTGCTTTTCCACGAAGTCCTTTCTAACAGCTTCAACAACTCTCAGAGATCCATCTTTACGATTGATATCCATGGACTTAGCAGGTAAGAAAGTACACTGCTCTTGTAGGGGACCCACGTTCAGTTCCCAGAAGGTTCACAATCTCTTGTAACTCCAGCTCCAGAGGTCCCAACACTCCTTCTCACCTTCACAGGCATCCTGAATGCACACAAGTGTGAGAGAACATGTGAACGTGTACATAATTTTAAATGATAATAATAAATTACAGCATCTCAGTGGTGGAGAATGCTTATTTAACATATGCAAAGCCCTGCATTTGATCCTGCATTTGAGCACATGAAAATAAATGACAACAAACACAAGAACCCTTGCTGTCTGTCATCAGAAACTCCTTTTTTTTTTTTTTTTTTCATTTTTCAAGACAGGGTTTCCCTGTGTAGCTTTGGTGCTTGTCCTGAAACTAAC